AAAAGTCTACCTCTGTCCACCAGAGCTTCAGGTCTGCTTTCCTGCCACCCCAGCCAACCAGCCTTCCAGGAGCCACACATCTTCCCAAAGAAAGTAAATAGGAATAACCTCTTATTCCCAAATATTTTTAATACTGAAAATATTTTATTTTTAGTGATTTTTTTTTTTTAACCTGCTCTCATGATTTTAGGGCATTCTCTTGCCATTTTTTACTCATTCACAGCATCAAGGAACCACTTTAAAAATAAAATCAAAGCACTCTAAGTAGCTCCTTACAAATGGCTGTAGGGATTTTCTTTTTGTCATTTTTCTTTTGAGGAGCTTTTAGGTGACCCTACAACCGGTGGCATCAAGGGAGGATAAAACTGCCTACCTCTCTTTGTCCAACAACTTGAAGGAAAAAGAACACCCCCTGTAAGTTACACATATTCCCAAGTAATTCAGCTGTTAAGCTCACCTATATCTTTTGCTGTTTGACTTTGTTGAATGATGGCTATGGTGGTCAGAAGACTAGTAATGGATTAAGGACAAAGACAACAAAAGCAAAAGAACAATGCATTTGGAGCCTAAATGACCTAGCAGGTTACAGTTTTCAGGAGGTACTTAAACCAAGCCTGAAAATGGACTTGAACATTTTAGGATGATGTATACAAATGGCATTACTGAGCAAGAGATGAGAACTGGAATTTCCTTGCCTCCTCGGCACTGGCAACACCTCACCTGAAGCGCGGTGTCTGGCACTATGCACAACACTTCCAAAAAGACGAGCACCACAGAGAGCAACAGCAACGATCAAAGTCTAGAAAATCTCACCAACAGGCAAAGGAATAAAGACATGAGGCTGCAGACTTCTGTGGAAGAGAAGTGGAAGTAGATAGCGGTTCCCAAGTGCATAAAGGGACTTGAAGAGAGAAAATAAATGTCTTTGCTGTTTGTGAAGAGAAGAAATAACTGCTAAACTGCCCAAGAAGAATTCTATTTTATAGACATTACTATTTTTTTAGGATAGGGTAATCTCAGGTAGATTGCAGGAGAGGCTGACATTCATCCTGACTTCACAGAATCATAACATCATAGAATATCTCCAGTCGGAAAGGACCCATAACAATCATTGAGACCAACTCTGCCCCTCGCAGGACTACCTAAAACTAAACCATACGACTAAGAGCATCGTCCAGACACTCCTTGAACTCAGTCTTGATGCCATGACCACTTCCCTGGGGAGCCTGCTCCAGTGACCAACCACCCTCTCGTTGAAGAACCATTTCCTCATGAGGAACATGAGGACTTGGAAGGTTGGTACAAACCTGTCATGGAGAAAGAGTGCAGGAGGCACATTATGCTGAGCGTATGGATGTGAATGTTGGCTAAACTCAGACTCTGGAAATTCAGTTCACAGTCTATGTTACTTTGAGGTATTATTCCAGCACAAGAGCCATACTGCAGGCATTAGAGAGCACTGGAATTTATTCAGGTCCTGTGAAAGCAAGGCACGCTCCAGTTTGCCCAGCAGTTTCTGTCATCTTGAAGATCTATAATGGACAATTTCTGCCTTTGAAGTTTGTCCCTGGTGTTCCATGAGTCTCCAGAGATATATCATGCCCAGAAGCAGCAATTACCAAATACTCTGATGTTTTCTTTTGCTTCCTTTTTTCTTTTTTTTTTTCTCCAGAGGAAAGTTAATTATACCCCAGTGTACCGTCATATAAAATGACCCAAATTAAGTGCAACAACTATTGGGGAAAAAATAATCCAGCTGTACTGCAAATGGAGGAAACTCTGCTCTTGAGCAAAACATGAGGGATGTGTCTCACCTGCATGTTGATATCTAAAGTGTCCCCAGAAGCCACTTCATCCTAAAGTGAAGAGTACTAGCTAAGGAGTGGACACGTGATGATCCCCACCGGGGGTATTAAAGCCAGAGTGATTTCCAGTGTTTTCTGGCTGCATTCTCCAGGGTTGGAGCACTCTTGGAACCAAGAGGAAGAGTTATGCACAAGCCCTTTAAGAAGCCACGTACCTTATCCCACACCAAGTTGGATTGAAAAAGGCTGCTAGGTTTTACTGTTAGAACATGAAAATACATGCACATACGTGTGCACGTCCAACATAATGCACAGCATTATGTCCCAAAGAAGCCAAGCTAATAATTATCACATCAAACAGTGAAGGAATTTGAGGAGTGAAATTTATTATGCCACTGCTGTTTGGCCATAAAGTTAGAGAGCGTACTTCACATGAAGTATGAATTCATAATTTTAAACAAGAGAGTCACATAAAGTTCACATCTCCTCTAGGAAGTGTCATAGAAATAGCAGGTTCATCCTGGTGTACCAGAGTGAGCACCTTTCCACAAAGCAAGCAAGCTCAATGAGGTCACAAAATGAGTCCTATTGTGGATGTCAGATTTTTTTAATTTAATTTTAATTTTCAACTGCAAGTGAAGAACAACCAGCAGTAAAGCAAGCAGCTTTGGGTTTTTATATAAGGCACCATGGACCTGTTATGAGGTAAGGACCACTCCCATGGGACATGCTGGAGATGGTCAGGAAGAGCATGCGAAGCTGTCCAGCGCTTTGCCCAGGAACCACCCAGGGCTCTGCAAGTTGAGAAGATTTGGTTGCAAGTGATTTGTCTCTATGGAGAAGGAACCTGGTTTACCCAAAGTGCTTCCAGCTACCTTGGAAGAGCAGGGAGCTGTGCTAGGACTTGGGAGAAGCCACATGGTGGGCAATGTGGGGTTGCTGCCATCATGATGTGGAGGTAACAGAGGCCCTCATAAGTACAAGCGAGACACTTTTGAGGCTGTTTCTGCGGCTTGCGTATACTCACCACAGTGCCTCAGTTGTGCAGCTCTGTTCCTTGTCCTTCTGCCCTGATGGATTTGATGAAAACGTGCCATTTTCTACAGTCACTGCCTGCGTGGGCACAACCTGCTTCCATCATTGGTTATCACTTCTGCTGCTAATTTCAATCACACCCTGTCTTCCCAATACTGAACACTGGCCTAAGAGAAAGCATAGAGACAGTGCTCCATTAGAGAGGCTGGTATACTATTTTAAGTAAAAGTCAATATTACTTTTTCTGCAAACAGAACATAAAGGCAGAACATAAAGCTTCCAGTCAGCAGGGACCTCCCCAGACTCTCAAGACCTTTGGTAGATGATCGAGAGGGGTCCTGCCGTAACATCTGCCAGCTCCTTCAGTACTCTGGGATTAATCCAATCAGCCCCCATGGACTTGTGGACATTCAGCTGATACAGCTGGTCCCCAAGAATTTCAGCATTCACAAATGGAGAGTCACTGTTCCCACACTCGTGGTCCTCCAACTCAGAGGACTGGGCAGCCCAAGGTCTATCTGTATTATTAAAGACTGAGGCAAAAAAAAAGTATTGAATGCTTCCACTATTTCTTCATCCCTGTTAGTCAGATGACCATCTTCAACAAATACCAGTCCAGTGTTTTCTTTAGACTTCCTCTTGCTATTAATGTACTTAAGCAAGCCCTCCTTGTTATCTGACACAAGACCAGCCAGTTTCAACTCTAATTGAGCTTTGGCCTTTCATATCTTCTCCCTGCATACGCAAACCACAGCCCTGTACTCTTCCTGTGAAGCCCGACCTCACTTCCAGAGATTGTACAGTTCCTTTTTCCTCTTGCCATAGCCACCCTGGGCAGCAGGGGCAGGATCCCAACCACCACCCCAGCAACACAGCCCCTTTACAGGGAGGGGCCATGACCATCAGCCTCGCTGGCCACACCTGGGGTTCTCCTCCAGCTCTGACCCACAGCTGGAGCACATCAGGAAGAAGGGGCCATTTGTCAGACCCCCACAGAGCATCACCTCCTCCCCTGGGTCTGTCAGAGCCACTCACCCAGTGCAGCGGGATCTCCAACACAGCCCTAAGGGAACGGCGAGCGTTTATTCATTCACAGGGATAAGAAGCGACCCGAGTGAGGCTGCTACGGGGCTCCGTGCCCGTACGCTCCCCCTTCACTCGGCAGTCGTTACCGGAGCAGTGCTGCCCGGTACGACGGGGAACGGTCAGCTCCTGGAGCAATGGGCTGAAAAGAGTGAAAGAGCGACAGGGAGAAAGACGGAGTGGGAGAAATAAAGAGGGATGGGGAGCAGGATAGAGGGATAGAGGAGAGAGAGGCAAAATGACTGAGGGGTGAGGGAAGAAGAGATAACAAAGGGCAGAAGCAGAAGGAGATGGCGAAAGAAAAAATACAGGCGGGGAGCAGGAGAGAGGGACAGAAAGACAAAAAGAGGGACAAGGAAAATAACGGTGGGATAGGGAAAAAGAGACAGGGAGAAGGACAGAGATTACAAAGAAAATATACTGATGGAGAGCAGGACAGAGGGATGGAGCAAGAAAACATGAAGAGGAAGCAGAATAGTGGGATGCAGAGAGAAAATAGTGCTAGGCAAGCTGCCTGCCCTGCTCTCTGGGTCCATCCTGGCTGCCTCAGCCCCCGCCATCACCCTCCACTGCTCTGGGGCCTTTGGCTCTGCCCTTCTTCAGCATCGCTTTCCCAGGCCAGTCACCCATCCCGTCGTCATCCCCTGCAGCGCTTCTTATGCGCTCAACAGCCTCACAGTGGCCATGACCTCACTGTCCCCACCCTGTCCCCAAGGGACAGAAGGGCTGCACATGCTCCCATGCCCTTGACCCCAGCCCCACCATGCCAGACACCATGGGTCTGACCCAGCACATCTGGCTGCCCCTCATCTGGGCCAGCAGCTTCCTCCTGCTCCTGGCAGCCTGGGCTGCCCAGCGCTGCCGGTGCCGCCTCTCCAGCAAACGGCACCGGGTGGGAGGGAGGCTCCTGGGGAGCCCTTCCCAGGGAGACTGGCCAGCCACAGGGCCCCTGCTCCGCAGGAGGGCCCCAGTCCCAGGGAACTGGGGCTGGCAGGGACCCCCATGCAGCACGAGTCGGGGCTCGGCCGAGGTCACTGAGCCAGTGCTGCTGTGCCCGCAGGTCTCTCCCTGCGGCCGATGGTGGAGGCGGCTGACGGAAGGGGGGCACCCAGGTGAGACCGTGCTCTTCCCCTGTGCCGGGGCCAGCGTGCCCAGCTGGCCGTGCTCACAGCCCCCAGCAGCAGAGCTGCTGCCACAGCCCCACGCCCACGGGAGACGTGGCTTTGCTGGGGTTTGCTATAGAACAAGCCCCACGCCAGGGCCCTGAGGGAGTCCCATCCCAATGACTGGGGGAGGAACAAGGAGGGGACGTCTGTGGGGCTGGTGCATTCTCTGGGGTTTGCTATAGAACAAGCCCCACGCCGGGGCCCTGAGGGAGTCCCATCCCAATGACCGGGGGAGGAACAAGGAGGGGACATCTGTGGGGCTGGTGCATTCCTCCCACCCCCACAGGTGAGGGTCACCCCACTCCCCCAGCGTGGCTTCGCTCTCCGCAGTGCTGCGTGCTCACCCTCCGCGTGGTGCCAGGAGGCATATAAATAAAGCCAAATTAGACTATTTTATGCCATTTGTGACCATTATGTTCTATTGATTACTTTTTTTTATTTCTTTGGCAAACTTCAATACATTCCAGGCTTTCTGTTTGACAAGAAGGTAGCTAGACTCTCAAATCATCAGAATATTTATCAGCTGTGAACCAAGATATCTTGACATTTTCAGCAGGCTATTCATGTTTGTATATGCATATACTTCTCTTGCCTTATTCTATGGGGGTTTTTTTTGTTTGGTTTGTGCCCTTCCTCGCTGAAGAGCACTGCAAACCAGTAGCACCCTTAACGTGATTTTGGGAAAACATAACAAAACAAAACCAAAACATATTAGTTCACTACCCTCATGAAGAATATACCTGCTGACTCTACTGGGAAATCTGGGGATGATTGTGTTCATCAGCACAGCCTCCACACCTCCATGTTCTTCTTCATCAACAGCCTTTCCTTCTTCGAGTTTAGCTGTAATGATGACCTTTGCAGCCAAGACAAAAGTCATATCATACACAGCATGCACGGCTCAGATCTTCCTGTTCCGCATTGCAGTGACAGGAGAGTGCTACCTCTTGGGCATGACAGCGTATGGCTGGTTTACAACCACCTGTAACCCCTTGCTCTACCCTGTCATCATGTCCAAGGGGTTCCATGTGTTCCTTCTGTGTGGATTCTGCCTCACGAGCTGTGTGAATGCAACTATTCAGATTTTATTTATATGCCGCCTGTCCTTCTGCGATTCCAACATCAGTCATTTCTGTGCCATGCCCCCCATCCCAAATCTCTCCTGCCCTGACACATGCATCACTGACCTGGTCCTCAACCATCCACTTCGCTCTCACCTCCTACATCCGCATCAGAGTTGCCATCCAGAAGATTAAGTCCACCAAAGGCAGATGAAAAGCCTTCTCCACCTCTGCTTCCCACCTAACTCCTGCCACCATATTCTATGGGACAAGCTCCTTCATGTACTTCACACCCAGTTCAAAATTCTCCACAGAGCACAAATCCTATGATTTACAGCCTGAGGAACAAGGACATCAAATAAGCCCTTCAAAGGACAGTAGCAAGGCTGCATTCCTCTGTGAGAACCATATTGATTCATGAGTCCAGACAGGTCTAAAAACCTGAGAATTGCCAAAAAGAGAATAATTGAATGTGCAAGTAGGTGGGCTGTCCCTGCCAGAGAGAGAGGAAAAGGGTGCAATATCTAAGATTGCTCATTACCACACCTCTCTGTTGTGAGAGTAGGCAGGCTCCTTCCTACTGCAAGACTCCCCATTTTCCCTGACACCCAAAAGAGGGGTATGTCACTAAGCAATCCCCCAGAACTAATTTCATATGGTGACAACCGCTCTCGCAGTGGCACTACAACATGGTTATGCCTCACATGATCTCACATTGTTACCTCTTCAACTACAGACAGCATCAGACAAGTCCATTGAGAATATTTGTAGGAAAAAATCTTGAACCAAAACGCCTATTTGAAAGACAAATATATTAGGATAAATCTCAACTTTAAGGATTTATAGAAGTCTGAAACAGAACCAGGTTTTCTGAGTTCCTTTATGCCAGGTGAGCCCAAGTTTTAGCAGGCAGCTCCACCAGGCTTGTGTTAGATACCACACCTTCAAGGAGGATTGCCTACCTGATGGTAACACACTGCCAGTTCCTAGATATACTACAGCAACTCCTGCATTTCAGCTACCCAGGTACCAGCCAGAAGAGTGGTGAAGAGAGGGATGAACTGCAGGAAACAGCATCATCTCACTTCATCTCTTCCCATTAGGATTGTATGCAGCAAACAGCAAAAAAATGAGAAAAAGCAGAACTGTAGCAGCAAACACAGTCAGAGGCTCCAGTGGTCCACAGTACCACCTGAATAGATTTCAGGCTCACACATGGACCCACCCAGCAGCTGCCAGATGATGAACCTTGAGTCTAATGAACACAGCCTGGAGTCAAACCATAAACTTGTGTTTCTGACCATACCACAGGTGCCAAACTTGCTTCTGCAGCCAAAGGAACCCTTTGTGTTTCTCCTAATATCAGAGAGGGGTCACTCAGAAGGGAATGGAGGATTCCAGCAACATCCCAAACATCATACACCCAGCAAGCAGGGAGAGGAGAGAGATTTTCATGACTAATCCCTAAAACCATTTAATGTATTTGGCGTTTCATTTTAAAAAGGATCAAGGATTTATGTCTAATTTCCATCTCAGACAAGGTAGAGGCCTCTGTTTCTGCCACCTGATATGTGGACGCATACACTACCTCTGTAGGATCTAGCAGGATAGAGACATCTTGTTACCATAATGGGGTAGGACAAGGTGTAACCTGGAGACCATGAAGTCATTAAGCATTAGAAGAGCTCAACTAGGGGTGCATTTCAGGGAGCACTGAAATTAAACCATAAAGTCCCTGAGCTAGGTGGAGGGATGGTTATGTTGAAAAGGAATTATTCACACTGCTTAGCCTAGAGATAAAGTTCAGGGTACCAACACAGAAGCCAGTCTCCAGCAAAAAGGATGATGTTCGAGATGCCACAGGAACGAATAACATACTACAAATCCTCTATAGTTCTTCACTAGGGAAGCACCCTATGGTTGAAAATGCTATATAAGAACACCGGGATTGTTCTTTCCCCTCAGCTCCTCTGGTATAGGGGAATATAACATTGAATTCACAGCAGGAACATAGGTCACAGCAGGTCTTTCCTCAAATCCAAGAGAGACACCAGAAGGGTGCCCTGCATCTGCAGCTACTCTGTTCCAGGATGAGAGAGGTCTGACAAAGTGTCCAAGACTGGGTTAGAAGTGCAGCGCGGGAGGGCAGAGCCTCACATTTCTCCTGCTCTGCCCATCTAGTTAAGATGCACTGAATTCAATGAAGGGTCTGTGCACGTAGATGGCAAAGCACAAACATGTAGTGCTGGGGCAGGGGGTCATTGTCATCTCCTCTTTCCCACATGGATCCACCTCTCCCTCCCTTGGATTTCCCCTGCTTCCCCATCCTCCCTTCTTGGTCCTAGAAGTAACTCTGGACCCTCAGGCAGCTCACCCCAGCCTGGTGCTCCGACAGCCTCAGGGGCATCTATTTCGCCAACATCCCCTAGGAGCTGCTATACAGCTCTTGGCATTTCACTGCATGCTGGGGTCATCCTTCTGCACCTCCAGCCACTGCTGCCGAGAGGTTGGAGCAGGGACAAAAGCCACTGGGCTGTGGGTGTCTGCTAGAATTCAGGCAGCCACCAGGCAGGGGACCCCATGCAGGAGTTGGGCTTCTGGATGGTGCAGCTATGGCATGAAAGACACGGCCATGACCATCCCTTCTGCTGCTCACGGCCAAACCCATGCAGGCTGAGGTCTTCCTCAGCTATGAAAGTCTCTCTTTAGAATATAACTAGTCACTCACACCTCTACACTTCTAGAGTCATCTTCACTGAACCAGTCTGTCCCTTATTCCATCCAGGCATCCACACGGGCCACATTAATGCTGACCCACTCGGCAGACGTCAGCCCTTAGACTGGTACTCACAGCTGATCACCGCTCTCCTATCCAACAGATACAATACCAAACATTCAAAAAGCTAGTGAGGCGTAAGAGGGAAACACTTCTTGAACAAGTTTGATCTCATAGTCCCAGATTTAACCACCAGAATCTTTAGATTTGCAAGGAAACTGAGCATGGCTGCTCCTTCCCCACACCCATATAACATCTGTAGGAATTTCTGGGCTGCTGCAGAGCAGTTAACTGACCCCAGAAGCAGAATGGTGCTCTGGCCTATGCAGAGTTTTCCATGCACTTTCTTTTTTTTGAAGTGCAGACTGTCACTTTCTCCATATTGATGCATGTCTTGTGATTTGTCAGATGGCTTTGGAATAAATGGCTTTTTTTAAAATAGTTTCCACTGTCACAGTTCAAGAATCACAGGAAACCCTGTGTGAACATCTGTTGCTCTGCTTATAATAGGTTAATAGCCCCTATTTGGCAGCAGATGACTTCTGATCTTTTCACCCAGTCGGTGACTGGTGAATTCCAATCTTTTCACCTACTCTAAGTAGTCTGTACTTTTTATGGGAGCAGGAACTATGGACCAGGAAAGATACCTTAGGTCATCTTGCATGCCATTAACACTTGTGTTTAGAAAACAGAGTTGCAACCTTACTGTAGATGAGGACATTGAATGCTGTGGGAAGCTCTGTAGCATTACAGCTACATGGGCAGCCTTACCAACTTCTTAATGCTCGGCTTGGAAATGTAAGTGGTCTTGAATGGACTTGCATGCATTTTTCTTAAGTTGGTGAAATATACCTAAAAAAACAAAAGAAAACCCCAGAAAATCCAGAACCTATCACCCTGGAGAAAAGGTCTTTGGTCATGACAGTTGGCTTTTGAACCCATTGTCAACATGACCAACAGCTGAAAATGGATGAAGCTTAAATTATTTCCACTGGTTTAATATTAAGAATGTGCATTTGTTACCACTAAGATACGAGTTCCTGCAGGAAAATCATTAGCTTATCCTTTACATCAAGACAGCAACCACAAAAAAGGCCACTAAGACAGACATCCTTGGCATTTGGTTTCAGTAAGGAACAGTGTGGAAACAATAAAGTTGTTTGTTTAGCACCAGACACAGCAGCTGCAATGACATGCCACAGCACTTTAACACAGCCCAAGATCCATCTCAAGATTTTATCATCCCAACATAGAGCCTCATCGCCAAGATATACACAGATTTATAGCCACGATGCGCAGAGATTGCACAGCATTCTCGCACATCCATTTCCACCTTTGTCAGCCACATCTTCTAATGATGGACTCAGACCTAAAGCACCCTCTGTAAACCTTGCTTCAGTCTGCCAACACTGAGAAAAGCCAGAGTGTGCCTGCACAGTGGTAAAAGCCCATGACTGCAAAGCCTCCCTTTCCCCCCACTGGCCATAGTCTTGGGCAGCTACCTAATTACAGACATGAGCATAGTGGACATCTCTAGTTTATGGGAATGGATTTGCCCCCCAGCAGACTGACTCTGAGATACATGGTGCCAACTATGGCCAGATTGCATCTGGTGGCACTGCAGGTGTTGCAGCTGGATTCTTGGCATGCTGGTTGAAAATACACCCAGACTGATGACCTTAAATGATGGCAAAGGAGCCTTCCTTCCAGTCAATCTCCCACAAAGGATGTGCTTACATTTTTTGCAGGAGCATTGTGGTCTGTAAGTCACCAGTCCTATAAGCTGCTCTAGTACAGAAGAATGTATATCCAAGTTGCCAACAGTACCAATTCCCAGCATTCACACCCTAAGATATGTATCCAACACCCATGTCTAGGGCTAAGACTCTCATCTAAGTTTCTTCTGTGCTCAGTGAAAAGAAAACATCATCAACTGAATTCAACTCCTCCCATGATAATGACCCAAAGCCGTGCAATCCAGTTGGCCTTCTGGAGGTGCACACCTCTCCCTTTTAACTGTAAAGGAAGCCCAGAGACAGAGTTTTGATTCCAGCATCTACCTTTTAGATGGCTAAATTTAGAGAAGGTCAGTCACAAACTGCAGTGCTTATCCAATTGCTGGGGGGTCCAGAGAACAGAGACAGAGATGGTCTTGTCTTGCTAAAGCAGTTCTTACCCGGCTGATCACTATTCTTGGGGCATATTTAGCTTCTTTGTTCCTCAGGCTGTAGATTATGGGGTTTAGCAGGGGGGTGAGGATTCCTTAGAGCATGGAAACTATCCTATCCTGACTAGGCAAGTAGGTGGAGGAAGGCCATACATACGTGCAAATAGTGGTCCCATAGAAAAGGCATACTCCTGTCAAGTGAGAACCACAAGTGGAAAAAGCTTTGTGCCAGCTTTCAGAAGAGCTCATGCACAGGACAGCCAAGAGGATGTAGGTATAGGAGATCAGAGTAACCACAAAGGTGCTGCTTCCAAGGACCCCAGCAACTGTGAGAATTACCAGTTCAGTACTGTAAGTAGGTGAGCAGGAGCGGGCCAGCATAGGAGGAATATCACAGTAATGTTGGTCAAATTCATTAGAATCACAAAAAAAAGCGCAAAAATCAAAGATGTGTGCAACAGAATTAAAAAATCCTACT